AGAAGAGAAAAATTGGTGACAATCACACCAACTCTCCATTTGTTTGGAAGTAAAACATTTTTGTAAAAGAAATTTTCATATTTACAGTGTATAGACAAACATCAGTCCACAAATGACTTTCATTTTTAAGAGAAAAATAAATAATAATTTTCATTTTTTTTTGGCTTATGGATGAACAAAAAATTAAGAAATTATTTTCCCATAATGTTTTATGTTGAATATTCCGAATATAACCAATTGATCCAAATTCAGTAAGCTATTTTCCATGCGGATGGCACAATACTTGAGTCCCAATCCAACATCCTGGCCACAAGAAAACACAAATAGCACATTTGGTACGATGGAATGGGCTAGAATTGAATGTCTATTCTAACTCTGCATTCCCTTTCCCTTGTTTGGTACATCTTATCTAAGTGGCAATAGTCATTCCATTGGAATGGCTATTTCAACAAAATGTGAGAATGCCTATTCCTTCCTCCAACCTAAGGAATGATCATTTCATTCCATCATGAAATCACCATAAATTTTTATTATTTTTTTATACTTAAAAAAAATAAAATATTATTATTTAGTTATCACCACCATTCTCTTTCGCTACCACCCATTCCACAATCCTACACCGCCACCACCACCCCTATTGCCACCACAACCACCACCACCACTGCCGCCGTCGCCACCACAACCACAACCACTACCACTACCTCCACAACCACCACCGCCGCCACCCTATTACCGCCATCGCCGTTGTCGCTGTCGTCGCTGCCGCCGCCATCACCCCAACTACCACCGCTACAACCACCACCTCCACAATCACTACCACCATCGTTAGAATCACTACCCTACTACTTTCGCTTCTATCATCGCCACTGCCTCTGCTGCTTGAACCATTACCTTACTGCCACTTTTAACAAAAAGCATACGACCACCACCATTATCGCAAGAACCACCACTCTACTACTGCTACCCACCACCACCACCATCGTCACCGCCACAACCATTACCTTACCACCACTATCACCATTTTTACAAAAATCACATTACCATTATCGTGAGAACCACCACTCTACTACCACTACCTGCCACCACCACTGTCGCCACCACAACCAACACCACCACCTCCACAAACACCACAACACTAGCTTACCACCACTACCGTCATAGTGACCTACTGCCACCATCCTAATACCATCACAACCACTGATGCCGCCACCAATACCACACCACTCACACCATCCTTTCCACAACTATCATAATCTATATGAATTTTTAACTTGTTTGTTACTAGCTTGTTAAAAATAAAAATAATAATAATAATAATAAATAAAAAAAATTGAAAAAATAAAAAATATTCTATTCCATTAATTTAAAGGCATAACAAAACATGAGAATAAGAATTATCATTGTATTTCTATGTCATTTCATGTTGGCAACCAAACAATGGAATGAGAATGAACATTCCATTCTATTCAACCTTGCATTCCATTCCCACACTCATTCCATTCTTTTGTACCAAACATGCTCCAAGTGTTCAAGGTCTTTCACTGCACGCCCCCATCTCTAGGCCTACTTTGGTCTTCTCTTCCTCCACCTCCAGTGCTCTCAAGCCACTAAGTGCCCGTCATTTTCCCAAAGGTTCATAACCGACCACCTCTAACCTCACTTAACCACAACTACCAAGCACATAAAATGCTATTTGAAACTTCCAAGTTTTCTTAGTGGTTGTATTCTACAATTTTCGCAATAATAGCTTGGTTCACAGCCTTAAGGCTCAACTTATGTATACTGAGATTATACAGAAAAGATAAAAGCTCAGCTATGCAACATCTAAGGCACCTCTATATACCGTAGTTCTTCCCAATCCTATTTGATACCGCTTGACCAACATCTTATCTAATCCCAATCTTCAAACCATGTTGAGATTTTCAATAATTTTCAACAAGGCACAATTTTATTTAACTTCTGCTTTGGTTGTAGGGAGATACTTTAGAACTAGAAGCTTATACTTTACAAGAAGCACCTTCTGTGAAGGGGTAAGAAACTTCCAAGGCCCTCTCTTGACAAGCTGTATTTGGCCATGACTGGATAATAGAGTTGGGCCCTGCTTGGGAAAAAGGGTTGGGGATAAAATAGCCTATAAAGACAAAAAAGGCTAAAATAGGCAATAAGACAAAATGTCACATCCTACACATCAATCAATCACTTTTTTCTCAACCATCTATTCAACTACAAAAAAATCTACAAATCATCACAAACACAACTTTTTTTTCATCTCATAAAATAGCCAAAAAACCAATTAGCCAACTAAAATAACCAAGTTCCCAAACGTGGCCTTAGTGTTATTTTAGCCATTATGAGGTCTAGAGTACCATTCCAATAAACCCCCCCCTTTTTGAAGGGAGAAAAATAACGATCAAGCCACACATTTGCCTTCACAACAACCACGTTGTATTGTTTTTTATGCTTGTCGCTCTCCATTGTCATGAATACTTTCTCATACTATACTAGTAGACAACGTAATCAAGTTTTGTGAATAAGCAGTGTGTTAAGTTTAGAGCTTGAGGCAGTGAATTTTGATTCGTAGTTTAAATACGTAATTTGTTTAAATGGCTCAAATCTTGAGGTTTAGCCGCTCCCTTTGCAATATTTCTTGCGAGTTTTAGTTGTGTTGATCTTCATTTCTTCTCATTTTCTTGCCTTGTTACTTCTGTAGTTTATAGTTATTTTGGAAATTAACTTCCAATGCTTTTGCAGTCAGCATGTTGGGCGATGGCCAAGTCATGGCTTGATGTTCAGGTGGATCTTGAACTAGCCCGCTTGCAACCTGGTGGAATGGATCAATTTAAAACTTATGAAGATGCAATTGACAGAAGTCATGGACAAGGAGACAATGTTTCTCCATCTACAGTTGGGCCAGAAAATTGGCCACTACAAGTTCTGAATCAGCAACCCCGGCATTTGCCTGCGCTTCTTCAGAAACTCCATTCAAGGTATACGTCATCAATTTATTACGGTTTTCTGGTGGGGTATATTAGTATTTGATAATTCTATTTTCTGCATGATTTAGTGACTCAGTACATGAAGCTATTACTCAAGAATGCAAGGAGCAGCACCGGCAAATTGAAGTAAGAGCATCTTCTTGGCAGAAGACTTTAGCATACCTGAATATTCAAATGCCACTTCTTTATATGAATTGGTTTTGAGCTCTAAAATGATGTCTCACGGGCCACCTGTTCCATTATAAATAAGGGTGGTTATGATTTATTGGAAATGATGTCTTGTTGACAGTTAACTTGTTTGATGGACTGCCTAAAAAGGGATTGTGTTACAGTAATGTAAGGATCAACCCACCTATTTGCTGGTTTCAATCATCAAAGTTTATTTTAGGTTGTGTTTGGATCATGGATTTGGGTAGGGATTTGGAAAGGGAAAGGGAAAGGGAAAGGGTACAAGTTAGTGAAATGTGAATGAAATATAGCCACATTGCACCCACCTTTTTCCCTTTCTTTTTCCAAACTCCTACCCAAATCTATGATCCAAACACAGGCTCAAGGAATTTAACTTGCTGATAATTCTAGTAACTGACCACCTCCTTGACTGGCTCTCACGTCCTAAACATGCATGAAAACTAATACGTTGCACAATTACATAGTAAGAACCAAATTAGCAATATTTAGACCATTCAATATCTCAGTGTAGGAAAAATATTTAGACATGTTGAGTAGTAGATTATGAGTTCTATTCTACTCATTATGCATATTCCGAAGTTAATTGGATATAAAGAAACTTCACGGTCGTTGCTGACTTAGTGACCAAACATGTCAGGGCACATTTGATGTTCAACATGCATGGGATACATGTTGAGTAGTAGATTATGAGTTCTATTCTACACAAATTATGCATATTCCGAAGTTAATTGGATATAAAGAAACTTCACGGTCGTTGCTGACTTGGTGACCAACTTGTCAGGACACATTTGATGTTCAACATGCACGGGATAGTATGCAAATAATATGATTTAGTTGACAAATAAGTGGGGTAAACTCTTAGGTTAAAATTGTGGAGGACACTATTGAATCTAAAGGTTTTATGTTAAATAGGACCAAAACAAATTATTTGGAATGCAATTTTAGCGAACTTAGAAATAAAGGTAAAGATCAAGTAACACTTGAGGAGGGGTAAGTGGTACCCAAGAGTGGTCAATTTCTGATGTTTTGAGTCAATTATTCATAAAGATTGAGGAAAATGTGGCTCATAGAAGGAATTAGAGTTGGTTGGATTGCTATACCTTATAAGGCATTTTGAGAAAAAATAAATTTGCCTCGATGTCCGACTCAAATTCAAATAAATTTTGAGAATCTCAACTGTTGCTGACAATAGGATTGGCGAAACCATCCGTAATGTGATCGCATTGGGTAGGCTGGGTGATTTGGCGTTTTGAACACTCCTAAGTTAAAAGTGGCACCAACTCATGATAAAATGGAAAAAGGCCGTTTGAGATGGTATGAAGCAGGAGTCCCACATTGCATGGGTATGAAACTAATGTGCATTATATAAGCATGTGTAACCTGGACCACATACGCACATGTAAGGAGGACTTATTTGATCCACATTGAGTGGTCAAATAAGTAAAAGGCCCAGGAGGAGATGGGCTGAGATGATAAGAAAAGACATAATTGAATTAGAATTATCTGAGGACATGACTTAAAATATTGCCAGCCAGGGGAAATGACCATATATCCAACCACATGTAGTAGGGAAAATTTTTGTTGAAGTGAGTTGAGCAATTGGGTGCAGAAAGAGCACAATTCTAATGTGTTATTTGGTCCTGTCATTTATGGGGTGTTTTGTACTCTGTAGCTTAATAGAATTTAGTTCTCAATTTGGATGAGAAAAAGCAAAGGGTTTTCTGTCATGACCAAAATTCCCTTATTGGTGACGAACTTGTTGCTAGCAACTCATTGGTATCATACTGCCTTTACAATATTTTGCTGATTATCTGTTTAGCGCAGCTGGTCTATTGTGCATTCATTGGATTACTTCTGTATCTCCTTTCTCGCCTCTGTATGTATTCCCCTACAGAATGGAAGAATTTCACTTTTGGCAGTTTTTTTATTTTTTGTTTAAAAAAAAAAACCTAATGTAGGTTCCTATACACCATATGATGAATCATGACATCCGTGTAACCTGAGGCTTAGTTTGGTTTGGTTCTTGTGTATATTGTACTCCCTCCGTCCCAAAGTAATAGTCCCTTTTGGGAAATTCAACTTTTTTTGGTAGTACAATTATTGCACTTTAAAAAAAATTGATTTTCCAAAATTACCCTTTGATAGTACATTTTTTAGGGAATATCAATTGTCATGATTGTTCTTTCTATAATGAATTTAAAAGAATGGCAAAATAGGAAATTCATATTATTTTTGTCCTTGATTTTTGAAAAGGGCCTAATATTTTGGGACAATGAAAAATGGAATAGGAGATTAATATTTTGGGACGGAGGGAGTACCAAGAAACAAGTTTAGAGCACCACTATTTGTTTTATTCTTTTTCTCTTCGTCACTTCTCTTTTTTCAAAGTCCTTGCGCTGCATGTTTGCTTGCTCTGTTTAATTTTAATAAAAACAAAGTATCTGTGCTTGGTCTTTTTTGCTTTCTACTATAGAAAGATTTTTTTGCTTTTTTGTATACATCAGCAAATGTGGCAATTGTTTTAGTTTCCTCAGTTTGAATAACATGTCATTGGCCAGTCTTCTCTTACTGATCTTTGATGTCCAGATGAATCTTATGATGGGGGATATACCGCATCTGCTAGACGTTATATGGTCATGGATATCACCATCTGAAGATGAGGAAAACGTCTTCAGGTGAATTTGTACTTTCTATCTGCATTTAAAGTTAGAGTCTTGTTTCTAGATACAAACCTTTGTTTTCTTTTTGATGTTCGTGTGCGTATAACTTGTTATGGTCCTTCCAAGTTGTGGCCACCTGTTGTGTTTGTTATATTCTTGTTGTGATTAACGAAATAGATATATAAATCAAAGTCGTCATTCACAGCTTTGTGTTGATCCATTTGAAAGCTAGACCACGATTAGGTGGCTGAAATACTGCCAAATGCTTAAAAGGAAAACATCTTAAAAATAACTCTGTTGATGTTTCTTACTGGCATTCCAAGTAGCATTCTGTTTCACTGTGGACCATGTTTGGAACTTGTTCTTCACTATTATTTTATAAATTCCATTTTTTTTTTTATGAAATAAAAGTGAAGAACATACCGTGCACATGCATGCATGCATCCGTGTTTGCTTAAACACTATTTGTTATTATAAACATTCATCCGCCTGAGCATGGGATACTCGTGTCATTGAGCTGGATGTGCTTTTTGCTTTCTCTCAGGCCTCATGGTGATCCTCAGATGATTCGTTTCGGTGCACACTTGGTTCTTGTTCTTAGATACTTGTGGAACAAATGAAGGATGCTTTCAGAGAGTAGATCATGACTGTTGGTGACCTCATTCTTCATATGTAAGCGTTTCTGACCCATGCTTATTAATCATTGTTACAGATCAATAGATTGTAATACCTAAAATAATTGATTGTCACAGTGGAGTTGTCTTTTTAACATGGTTAGAGTTGGACAATAGTAATTTACATGTGTCTATTATTTTGATTTGTGCCTTTTGTTTTGTTGTTTGTCCTTAGAGTTATCATGGTAGAGAGTCCAGCTATGTCATGTTCATTTGCAATTATCATTTGAAAGCACATATAAAGATGATATAGTAGAACAATTCGTCTTCATATTCGTTTTTGATAAGTAAGATACTTGCACCAGCGGTAGGAGAAAGCACTCAAGCTAACAAGTAACAACTGATGATACTTAATGATTTATTAAAAATGAAAGAGTCACAGTTTTAAAGCATAGAATCAAGTTGGTTTCTTTAGAGAGTAACTGTATTAAAGCTAATTGGCATTATTAAACACAAGTTACAACCGACAAGTGACCTATTGTATAGAAAACCAAATATCAATTGTTGTAATGGATTTCAGTTTGAAATTTATTGGTCTGTATTTGCTCTTTTTGTTTGTAAGACCTTGGTCTTTAAAATCTATAATTTGTACCAGTAATTTTCTGCTAGTCCATTAGAAACGACATGATGGCATCCATGTGGTCAAGTTGATTCATTTGAGGATCTCTTGGATGAGATATGGCTTCATACCCCTGAAATGTGTGACGTCCGTAGATAGGATGGCTTACTTGCCTTGTGAAGAATGACCAAGGTTATGTTTTTTTTTTCCGTTATATGATTTGGTATATGTTAAACAAAGTCGGATACAATTGTTTACATTAGCTTGGTATTGCCATGCATTGGGAGACATTATGTGCAACCATTAACTGGGAAATACAATTTCTAATTTTCCAGGTATGCGATATTTCTATTTTCAACGCACTGCGAAGAGTTGGTTGGCATTTATGCTTCTCAACTTGCACATCATCGTTGCATTGACCTCTTTGTGCACATGATGGAGTTAAGTCTGAACAGCAGGTGTTTTTTCATGGCAGAACTGAAATTGGTTTCGTCTCTTTATTACTTTTGGAAAAATGCTATCCAAACTAACAAATCTTACAAATTTTTCTTGCTTACTGTACAATAATGAAACTGTGGAAACTGGACTCACTTCAATGATATAAAAGGTGAGTTAGAAAAGTTTGTAAGATTTGTTTTGTGTATAGTTCTCCAACTTGTTCTTTCCTTTTCCTTTATGTTTGATTTATTTAGTCTTTTTTTTAACCTTTTTGGCTGGGTGGGAGTTGATGCTTGTTTAGGCTTGTGCACAATTTACAGGTGCCTCAATTGTGCTTCACTATTTATTACTGGGGGAATTATTTATCAAAAAAAAAAAAAAAAACTGTTTGTTATTGGGGGAATCATCAAACAGTGGGATAGTAAAAAAATTTACACAAATGGAGGGGTGCAACTCCCCCGTGTTTTGTTATTTTTTTTTTGGTCCTACACCCTGCATTCTAATTAACCCTAAATAAAACTAAAGACGGTGTTGGAGGTGGTAATTTCAACCCAGGACTGAGTATTTTTTTCGTATGTGTTACTGAAATAGAAAATATTATAGTTTGGAATAAAACAGTATTTGTCTTTGTAATGGTCCTTTTTCCTCCCTAGATATTAACAAAACGGGATATATTTTATGTTATGTTACAATTAATATAAAATTTATTAATTTTAATATTTTTTTTCTAAATTTTGTTTCGATTTTTTTCTTTTCATGCAATGTAATGATTACAAAGCTACAACTAGGTTAAACAAACAAGTCTGATTCAAAATAACTTTCCCATAATCATGACAAAAAAATTGTAACTAACGGTGGCCCTAAACCTACATTAATAATGAAGATGATGGAGCATACATTAAAGGTTCATGTTTATGAGTATTACTATGATGATTCAATATTGATTATCCTAGTTACAACTATCAAATTCATTATGCGTCATTGTACGAAATTCAGAGAAAAAAATCTAAAACTATAGAAATTGGATATAAATATTTCACATAGCCACAAATGGAGGACAGAGGACCATTACAAAGACCAATACTGTTTTCTTCCAAACTATAATATTTTCTAGAAAATCTCTTCTTTCAGTAACACATCTGAAAAAAATACTCAGTCCTAGATATTAACAAAATGGGATATAAAATTAGGCTTGTAGACATTTTTTTGTTTCTAAACATGCTCATTATGTTTGCAAAATAGTGTACATTTAGTCTTCTGTATGTATTGTAAGCTATGTGCGGTCGTGCAGCAAAAGAAATGGAAAAAGAAGATAAAACTAATATGTTAAGATATTGCTGAAGTTCATCTGTTCAACTTGTTTATTTGCATTTGTATTGTTATATATTGATAGATATATTCTGTGAACAAATATAATTGCAATACAAAGGGAAATGCAGTGATAATGTTACTGTGCCCAGGTTTTCTCAACTAAACTATGTTAGTAAGATTATCCATGTTGTCACTAAAGAGATGTATGGTTGTTTCTTTTGAAATGAGGAGCCTTGGCTTCTTTATTTCATTGGCCTATGGGTACTGCACTGTGAGCAGTTTCATAACTGTTCTCTTTGTTCATTTGCTGTAAAATGTCCCACTAGCCGTGTGACAGAAGTTCTCTCATGATCACTTGTGTTCATGATAAATGTGCTTCTGATTTCCCTTTTCAAGAGAAACAACAAATTGCATGTAGAACTGGGAGGGAGAATGCTGTGCTACCAACTAGTTAGCATCTCCTATTTGTGTGGTATCGCCTATTGAGGGTGAGATGGTTCTAAAGCAAGGGTGTCGGGGTTGTGATATAGAGGTTGA